CTTTCCTCTAACATAAAATATTCAATTCAACATATATATATAATGAATTTATAAAAATTAAAATTAAATTAAAAAGATACAATAAATCAAAAACAGAGTATGTTATACCTGAGTGCCCGGCATGTGCATGCGCTTCACACGTCGAGCTTCTCCCATGGTTCCTCCACCATCGCCTGAGCTATTTATAAAAATCACGGCATCCTTCCGATTTGGCGCAGGCATCGGCACCGTCAGCATTCTTTGCACCATTTCTTCCAAAGATTCTGTATCTCTCTCGAACCTTGATTTGTCAGTTGGAATGGCTACGAACCTTAATCTTGGCGACTTATGAATTGTCACCGGTATCACAGCACGAGAAGGAGAATCATTCGGCAGTAGAAATAGGCTTTTGAAAGATTCTGCATCCATGTCAGAGCAAGATTTCCCCATCAAAACTACGATTCTTTCTCTTCCCAACTTGTTCAAACACTTCAGAATCTTCGCCATCGTCGGAGGCAGAGAATCCTTTGCGAGTTGAGCTAGGGTTTTAAGAGATTCAAGATCTATCTTGGAGCTCAAATTCTCCATTGTACCAGTAAACGATTCTTTCTATTCGCGACTTCTTTTTTTTTTTTTTTTGTTCTTTTCCACTTGCCCAGCCCACTTTTCTTTTCTTTTTTTTATTGACGTTTTTTTTTTAATTTCTATTTTTTTACTATACCATTTCTCACATATTTTTTCACAATTCCATACTAATTCTTCACATTTCATACTATAATCCTTTGGCTCTCGGTTGGAGATGATTTTTTGTGACAGTGTTAAAACAAGCCCTATGGCTCTCGGTTGGAGATGGTAAGAAATATGATCATGCACTGTTCATTAAAATATTAATTTTTTGGAGCGCTAGAGGGCTAAAACAAGACATCTGGCCAGCCTTCGGTTGGAGATGGTCTTATGTTATGAACACAAATTGCATTGCAAGCAAGAACACGTACTCTGTTATGTTTCAAATAAAATATTTTCCCACGTAGAATTACGAGATTGATTTAAAACACCTTGCTTTAGCGTTCTACTTGCATGTAAATTTAGAAGGAAAAAAAACATAATAAAATTTGAAATCCCGTCAGGACAACTGCATCTTGACATCACGTGATTGGTTTAAAACCCCGACGTGATTTTTAATCCTCCACTCAAAATCGCTTGTATAAAAAAAACTAAAAAAGTTGAACGGTTATTTCCTTTTTGGTAAGTTAAAATATGCAGTATGGATATGTCTCCCAAACATTCCCTATTATATTTTAAAATTGGCTCCATATTTTGAAGCAAGATTGTTTTGAAATTAAACGGTCCTTTTTTTTCCCCCTTCTCTATACACGAGATGTCTTTCTACATCTACGCCAATAGTAGAGAGAGAGAGAGAGCCCATGGAGGAAGCAATGGTTATTCTTCAAGACCAGAAACAGAGCTCCTCTTACCCACTACTACAGCTACCGCCGCCGCCTCCGCTGCATAAGGTCCACTGTCTCTATTTGTTTCTCTCAGATATGATTTGGGTTTTGCTTGTAATCTGAGTATTTGACCGTTTGTTTGATTGCAGGGCATGGAAACCGAAAAGCAGTTCGGGCAAAAACCTCCATGCTTTCAACCGACGACTACAAGCAATGTGAGAAACAATAACATGCTAATCATTTCCTCCGATTCTGTATTGGGGTTTTGTTATTTCCGGTTTCGAATGCTACATGGTTTGACGATTACTGTTAACTCTGCAATTTTATTGAATAATGTTAATATTTTGAAGCTATAAGCTTTTAGAAATGGGGATTTTGATAGAATCTCCTTCATCTCAGATGGCTATCAGACGGCAATGAAGTAAAATATTCTGTTCATGTTTTGTATGTTGTACGGGTATGCTAGGAATCGTGAAAGTCATGCCAAATTAGGTAGAAAAATCAAAATGGGTCATAAAAAAAATTGATCTGTAGCTACGCACTGAATCAATCAAGCGAGCAACGAAAAACAAATATTCAGAGCACCACAAATATGGAATTTCCATTTCTACGCACTGTAGTTACAAATATGGAATTTCCATTTCTTGTCAGCATACACTGAACTAACTGAAATATCTTGCGAGTTCTTGAATACAGGTGTTGAATGCTAATGCTAATCCCATGATGTTTAAATGGTCAGTGAATTTTTAGTTAACTTTTTAATCTGCTTTTACTTATTGATATTATTTGTAAAGGTTATAAAGTAACACCGGATCCTCAATTTTGTTCCCAATAGTCCTAAACGAAAGGCCCCTGTAAGAGTTAGAGTAGAAAGCTTATACGATAGTTCCCAGGCTCAGTCTTCTGTTTTGGAAAGAGCAAAGAAGATCGAAGCAAGCCTAGATGATAAGTTTCCTTCACTACTCAAAGTTATGATGCCGTCAGAAGTTTCGGGAGGATTCTACCTTGTAAGCCTCACTCACTCTTGTCAACAATTTGTGCAGTTATCTGAATGCATTGACTAATTACTAATTAGGATGATATACTTATTTGAACTGACTTTGGTTTGGCAGAATCTTGCTAAGAAATTTCGCAGTGAATATATGCCAAAACAAGATTCAATGATTGTTTTGGAAGATGAAAATGGGAAGGAATTTGGAACGAAGTATCTTGTGGAGAAGGGTGGACTGAGTGGTGGATGGAGAGGGTTTTCAATTGCTCACAAGATAAAGAAGGGAGATGTTGTGATTTTCCATCTAGTCACTCCTTCCAAATTTAAGGTAACTGATGGAACCTCTTGAAATTTATGTGCGGATCCCGTGTTCCAAGTTCCATTATGTAACGTATAGTTGAACTTGACAAATTTGGAAAAGAGAAATCCTTAAATTGATCATAGCCTTGCAACCTGAATCCTGTAAATCAGAGTTGCTATAATGTAGAACTATATAAGATAGATCTCGGGGATGCCACTATGGTTGTGACGATGATGAAAATGTTTATCCTGTGATTTAAAGAAAAAGGGCAGAATAAGTTGGTAACTGTACATTTTTTTGAGTTTGCCAAATTTTGTTTTCTTAAATTTAGATGGGTTTCTCCTGAATGGAAATGTTGAGAAAAAAAGGATAAGATCTATAACATTTTATTGCTTTGAGGCGCTACTTCTGAATGCGTACGAGACACTCAATTCTTTTGCTACCTACTTGTTGCAGGTATACATCGTTAGGTCAAATGAAGTGGACTGGAGTATTCCTCTTATGAGGGTAGATCCTCCCATCAGACAGATGGATACCGGTAAGTTGTTTCAAAACTCATCAAGTTATGTGTGGCAAGTGGCGTCGCAATCATAAACAACTCTTACCTTTTCTGATCCTTACATGTGATTTAAATCACGCAGGAGGCTTTACTGCATGTGGAAAGGAAGAACGTGAGAATTTGGAACCTAATCCGCAGGAGAATGCAATAGTCTGTTATACGGACTCTGGTCCAACATCAGATCAGTCTGGAAATGACGGCGAAGATGTTGGTTCCGAATTTCTGGATGGTCTTAGACTTTCAGAGTCTGTTGTCACTTTTAAAGAAGTGCACTGTTTGGACAACTTTAATGTTCAGGTCAATGGTTTAATCATAAACTCTGAATTTTCAAAATACGTCCTGACCAAGTATTATGAGCTTTGCTGCAGTCAGAAATCCTTCCTTCATGAACAACTTCTCGAGGGTCTGAACTGCAAACTGATTGCCGGAGTAATTTCTGAGACAGTCAACATTGCAGATGCCATCAGGGCCTGCAAGATCACTACCCCGGAAGATTATCTTTCGACTTGGGATAAGACTCTGAAAGCCTTTGGTGATTTAGGCATGAATGTCCGTTTCCTGCGTGCCCGCCTGGACCAGCTTACAAGTCTTGCTTCAAAATCAAAAAGACTTGAGGCAAATGTTTTGGAAGTGAAAGAGACCATGAATAGTCTTGACTCTGAGGTTGAGACTCCGAATACGAGTTTAGAGGAGGAGCGGGAAATTCCGTTCCAAGAAATGGCTAAAGCCCCTTGGTGATGAGAAAACTTGAAAGAATCTAGTTACTCTTTTTGGTTATAACTTAAAAGATATAATGCCAAAGCTAGGTGAGGAAGAAATGCGCATCTTGTGCCGTTATCACTCAGCATTTTGGGTTTTTATATAGATGATAGTTATATGCCAGTGCTGCAGAGATTTTGGTAATTTCTCTACAGAATTGTGTGGTTTGGAGGCATCAGTAGCTAGTAGGGAGGAATGCTTTACCTTCTGATTTTCTCTCTGGCAATTTCCAGCATTGGAATGTATGATATAGAACCAATTGTGATTTGTAAGATCAAATAACTCGGTCAATTTGTTTATCTATTCTATTCAACTATTACATGCTACTTCAGTTATATCCTCCTCCGTTCGATTATAAATTTCAATATTCAGCCGTATTGTTGCTATAAAGAACCGAAAATCTGTCCAAGAATATTTCCAAACAAGAAATTCCTTAACATACATTGAATAGATACATTATTCACATTAGTGAATTTTTCAATGTGATCATAGCTTGATTACCATGTTATAATATTACCCCTTTCACAGTAGGTTACAAGACAACAATGACTCTGAAAACTTACCCAAGACTTGAAGAAATTTTGGAGTTCGGCATCTGGACCACGTATTTGTGTGGTCCAGACACAATAAAGACTCACTATTACGCTATGTAATGTCCCCACTCATGTCCTCCTGAAGTTCCGAACGGAAGAATTTCTCTAAAACTTGACTATCAAAGAGTTACAGTTCCTAGTTCTACTGCAAACATTTGAACATTACACACCCATGCTCATCCTTTAAATATGTTTGGGAGGGAATTGTGAATTGTGGTAGTATTTTACAATTTTTTTAGGGAAGTGGAATAGCATTATATTCCCTTGAAAATGGATAGAAAATTATTGTTGTTACCTGTATGGTTCCCAAAATGCCCCTATTATGTTTGAATTCCATTAGGCAGCCTCTAGCTCGAGTGAGTGACCAAAGTACATGGAACTGTCTTTTCATCTTTTCCATTATTCACTCTTTACCTCCATAACCATAAAGTTAGAGAGAGAGAGAGAGAGTGTGTATCCATGGCCATGGCTGTTCTTCAAGACCAGAAGCAGAAGCAGAGCTCCTCTTGCCCACGGCCACCTAAGGTCCTCTCTCTCTCTCTCTCTCTCTCTCTCTCTGACATGTAATATGTTAACGGGTTTTCCTTTGATAGTGAGTAAAATGTGAGTGTTTTGTTTACTAATGATTTTGCAGAGTCTGGTGAATGCATTGTGAGAAAACCTTATATTATATATATATTTTTTAATTCATACATATTTGTATTGGGTTTTTGTTCTTCCTATTTTGAATCTTCATGTAGTTTGATTAAGATTAACCATTTCAAGCAATAAGCTTTTTGAAATGTTTTTGGTCAATTTCATTAACATGAGCCTCTTTACAAAGAAATGAAATATGTTTGATGATTTAAATGAAAAAAAATTACAAAAAAAACCAGTTTGGGAAATAATTTCCGCCCACACCTTCGAATTGGCTGGAATTAAAAAAACAAATGTTTTTCCAAGTTGGGCTGGGGCTCTCGTTTATTTTCTGCACATCTTGGTTGTATGTACTTGAACTAGTGAGCAATTTAGTTTCTTAATTTCTCCACATATTCAAACACGAAATAAATTTTTGGGATACAGGTAGTCAGTGGCAGTAATGCTAATCCAAATATGCCTGAAAGGTCAGTCAGTCAGTCAGTATATATTTAATTTACATTTTTAATCTGCTTTTTATTTGTCGAAATTGTTTGTTTTGATTGACTGTGAAGTAACACTTGATTCTCAATCTTTTACCACTAGCCGTAAGCGAAAGAGAGTTACCGTAGCAAAAAGCGGCGTATATGAAAGAGCAAGGGAGGTTGAAGCAACCCTCGATCCTAGGTTCCCTATCCTGCTCAGAGTCATGCTGCCTTCTCACGTTGCTGGCTGTTTCTGGCTTGTAAACCTTAAGCTCTCACTCATTCTCTTCACGCTTTGTGCAGTTATATCAACTTATCAAGGCCTGTATTGTTAGGATGATGTACTTATTTATATGCACTCGCTTTGGTTTCGGTTTTGGCTTTGGTTTTGGTTTGGCAGGGCCTTTCCAAGAAATTCTGCTTTGATCATATGCCAAAACAAGATAAGACGATTGTTTTGGAAGATGAAAATGGGGATAAATTTGAAACTAAATATCTTGCGGAGAAGGTGGGACTGAGTGGTGGATGGAGAGGTTTTTCAATTGCTCGCAAGCTACAGGAGGGAGATGCCGTGATTTTCCATCTGGTCACCCCGTCCAAATTTAAGGTAGTAACTTGTACCTTCTTGGAACGCTTGTGTGGAATCTGGATATCTTTACTTGTTTGATTGAGTATTTATATTAGATTACTTGAGTTAAACTTGACGAATTTGTTATAAAAAATACTATGCCAAATTTAAGGTAGTAATAGTATGTAGATATTTGACTGCTTTGAGATTCTACTTCTGAAATTCGTACTAACCACTCAATCCTTTTGTTGCCTCCTGGCTGTAGGTGTATATTATTAGATCCAATGATTTAGACGACATGGATTGCGCTATTGACCTTGTGAAATTAGATGCTTCTATTAAACTGGCGGATACTGGTAAGCTGTTTCGAAATTCATCTAGTTATCTTGCTAACAGGCTTGAAAATCATAACTATTACTTCTTTGGCCTCACTTTATAATTTAATTAATGCAGGAGATGTTATAGCATGTGGAAGGGAAGAGAGGGAGAAATTGGAAACTATTCCAAAGGACTCCGCAATAGCCTTTGCTTCAAAGTCTGGTTCGATATCAGATCATTCTGGAAATGATATTGAAGATCTTGGTTTTGAAGTTCTGGATGGACTTCGGCTTTCAGAGTCTAACGTCGCTTTCAAAGAAGTGAAAAGCGTGGAGAACTTCAATGTTCTTGTCAATGGTTTAAACATAAATTCTGAGTTCTCAAAACACCTTCTGACCAAGTACTACGATCTCTGCTGCAGTCAAAACTCGTTCCTCCATGAACTTCTTATCGAGGGTCTAAACTGCAAACTGATTTCTGGAGCAATTTCTGAGACAATCAACATTGCAGATGCTATCAGGTCCTGCAGTGTTACTACATTGGGATGCAATTTTTCCGCTTGGTATAAGACTTTGAAAGCCTTTGAGGGTTTAGGCATGAATGTCGGGTTCCTGCGTACCCGTCTGGACCAGCTTGTAAGTCTTGCTTCAAGATCGAAAAGATTTAAAGAGGCTAGACTTGAAAAGGAGCAGGCGGAAGAAGAGATGAGGAGCTTGGAGGCAAAACTTTTGGTAGTAAAAGATGCTATAAATATACTTGACTCTGAGATTGAGAGTCTAAACACGAGTTTGGAGAAGCTTGAGCATATGTTCCAAGAAGTGGCTAAAGCCCCTTGGTGATGAGAAGACTTCAATTCCTCTGGTTCTTATTTTGGTATGTATCAAGGTTTATTGTTCAGAACCAGAACTGTGCCAAAGCTACGTGGTGAAGAAGCGTTTTGTGGTATGATCTTCGATGCTTCTGTGGAGTCCCACTCGCGTTTTGTGTTATGGTCTTGGGTGTTTCTGTGGAGTCCCGGGCACATCGATAGATTGACCATCTTTTGTGTATAGACGTCATCAAGGTAGTGTTACCCAGCAGGGAATCTGGTATTCCCCTTTGTACTTTCCAGCTAACATGGGAAGATATATATGATACAGAGCCAATTAACGTGAACTGTTGTCTCAAAACTTTGAAATTTTTAACGATAATTTATCATGAAAGTAACCTGTTATCTCACAATACAACTATCTTCAAACACAAGTGGTTCTCGCTAGTTGAAAGAGCAAAACGATGACCCAACACTAGTTGAGATGTAAAGAGGAATTAAGAAGTGACAACATTTTACCGTACAAATGTTATAATTGGAACCGTTGGTTCTCCATATCATTTGGTAGTAGTATATTTTCATGGGCCTCTGTGAAGCAACATAGTGTAGCACTTTCAACACCTGAAGCTGAGTATATGAGTGCAATTGAAGCAACAACACAAGCTGTGTGGCTCAGATATGCATTGCAGGATTTTTGGGAGGAACAAACTGAGGCTAGTCCAATTTACTGTGACAACACCTCTGCAATAGCAATGACAAGGAACCCTGTGTTTCATCAAAGATCAAAGCACATTGCCAGAAGGTACCATTACATAAGGGAGTGAAGGCAGCAACAAGCTTAGGATGGAGTGTTGAAGTATAAGCTCAGTTGCTGCAAGAATTGAAGGATTGAAAGTTGAAGATCATGGTTTGGTTTATTTCATAGCTCAGTCCTCTTAAGTTTGAATTTGTATATGTTTGTAGTGGATGGTCACGATTATAACATCTAAATGGTGTAAACATCTAAAGTGCGTTCCTCACATTGCACCTCGTGACAGGCTAAATAACGATATAAAAAGACGTTACACAATAGAACTTTTTACGGTGGTATTCCACTTCATAAGTTGGGATTCGGGAATAGCAAATTCACAACCAAAAATATTTTTGTTCTAAAAAATATTCTTATGGGGTAGACTGCATCCAACACCACCACCACTTTATTCTTTGGGTCCGTTAAAATTTTCAACACATTGTTCGGAGTGAGTTGTGTACCGCTTGTGTGATATCTTCTCTGGCAGACGAACTGTGATGATCTTTGGCTAGCCTCATTCGACAAGAGCTGTGAACGTTATCGGTGCCCTCCAATATTTTTTCTCACTCTCGAGCGTTTGTTGCTTGGAAAGGAAAGAAAAATATGCCTGGGAGGCTACAAGACAACATCCATCTGTTCATAATCGTGACGTTTGTTGCCTAAAGGATGGATCGATGCAAACGACAACCTGTGACATTTATTTAGTCGCACGGAAAAAAGGCATTTAGGGGAAATTGATTTGTCACACTACCACATCGAGAGTGAGACAAGTAAAAGATAGGACAGATGAATTACCTTCCCTACGCTTTTACCGGAATGGAGATACTCCACAGCATCTGCAGCCGAACGGACGCCCAGAAACTGTTTTGGGTCTAACGAAACCTATAAAAATGAGCGCATACGATACGATTAGGGGTATCATCGATTTAAACCCTAAGCCGTCCTAGGATAGAGTACAGTAAATTATTTAGGTGAGTGAAAAGGTTGAGCAAAGATAAGTAAAACATTGACCTTCAGCTTTCCCTTGGAGAAAAGATAAACTAGTTTATCCAGATGTTCTTGCCAAAGGTGACTGTATTGCACTAGGAAGAAACCAGCCTGAAGATATGAACGTTGTTAAATAAACATTTGCTACGATAGATGAATTCACCGAAAGATATTTGAATGCAGTTTCAATTCTCAAAGCACTGCAATAGATCCTGTGTATGGATCAACTAATGACCCGATTATAGTATCCCAGTGACAAAAGCAGTTGAATTGAGAGAATACTTAAGGGGTGTAGTTTAAGTATTCAGCAGCTACATACCACAGTTTGGCTTTTCGCTAAAATCTTTTCGCAAATTCCGGGATAGTTTGATGGCTTCCACCCATGCTCTCCTTGATACTGAGACCATAATGAATCATGTCAAAGGAAGACTAAATCCACCAACATCAAACACAAGAAAATTCCTCAGCAGACGAGAAAATCCACATAATTGAATTTAAACAAAATCCAAATCTATTGAAATTTGAACAAACAAGGAGATATATGTTTCTAAAGCTGAGCCTGTACATCCCAGAAATCTTTTACCAGCTCAGCATATGGTTAAGACTGCTAATTGGAGCTTGCACTGATTTTTACCATTAATGGCGGAGACGGATGTGTCTGTTGGACTGCATATATTGATATACAATTTGGATAATTAATCCTATCAAATTTTCTGTTAATATTCATACTATTACTACATATTTGCATATAACCTAAAATGAAAATCGAAACAAACCCTTTGGTATATTTCAATTGTCTATATCAATTATCAAAGTCAGCATATCAAGTGTCAAGAAAGACAATTATATTCTAGTAACGTTTATGCTTGCATGAATAAAGAACCTGAGAAATCATTCCGATTACAATGAGTCGCCCATAGACCGCAAGAGCATTCAAGCACAAATCAAACATGTCACCACCAACAGACTCATAGATAATATCGACACCTTTGGGATACTCCTTCCTTAGAACCTGCAAAATTGAAAGTTATCAATGAATGGATTGCATTGCTCCTTTATCTACATCAGATTCAAAAGCATTTAGTTCTTTGTAGTAGCTGTTCCTTTATTCCTCCCATTTAGTTCAATTTAAACCTATGAAGTAGGGATGACAAAAATGTGTTTTGACATTAGCGAGTGTTCTGACTGCATTACCAAACCATCTTCAGTAACGTATTTAATTTGGAGAAGGAAAACCTGATAAAACTGGCAAACCATACAAGCTTATGAGTCTATGACCTACGAGTCAAGGTTACTTCAACAAAATGGAAGAACCAGATTGGCGATTACCCAGTGCCAGATAATGATTGACTCGGATTAATTCTATAATCTAATACCAACTGTAACAAGCCTCCTAACTTTGTGAAACTTGGGTGTTTGAGTCGGTAAATTTAAAATTGTACTGATCTTAAGAACATTGCATTTCATCACATGCTTAAGGTAAATATTGATCTGAGGAGTCTTTGAAAATAAAAAGCACTAAGCAATCGGTATAAGAAGATACAGTCGATATTATTAGCTGGATTACTTGACATATTGCATCACATCAAAGAAGTCATAAGTCCTTTTTCAGCTTAGAATTCCATCAAGTACAACTAAAGAAACAATTTCATAAATAAAGGGAAAAGATTAAAAAGGCATACAGTTTTGACATCTTCAGCTTTATAGTCAATGACTCGATCAACCCCCAATTCTTTCAAATGCTTTGCCTTTTCTGCACCTCCACAAGTTGCAACCACAGTATTTCCGGCAAGTTTTGCAAGCTATGCATATAAAGGACTACTAAGAGTAGTGTTTGAGCGAAGAAAGACAAAGGTTGGCATCATAGAATGTCAGAATTAAATGGCAGGACAACATTTTGATCAATATGCACCAAATTTGGAGGGCTTTCAGGAGATAGAGGATGGGGTTTTTTTTCCCCAGAATTCCATCCCCTTGTTGATGTCAACGAGTTTGACATACTAAAACATTGGGTATGTATCGGCAACATTTAGACAGTGAATACACTGATATCACAAATAGCCATACACCCTGTGGAATCGAACAAAAAAGCATGCATATAAGAAAGAGCTATTTCCACATTTGAAAGCAAACCTGGACTGCAAATTGCCCAGTCCCTCCAGCAGCAGCAGTGACAAGAACTACTTTCCCAGATTCCATTTGTCCCGCCTAGATGCGCATAATTAAAGAAAGTGTCAGACAAATAGAAATATGGTGTTTCATTGAATAATTTAAACTATTAAAAACAACGAAGGCAACAAAGAATATTACACACAATTACTAGAAAATTATTCGGAACTCCACAGGACGTTATCATCGAACAATCACCTAGGATTCAGCTAAAAAAAAATACAAAATTCTGATACAAAAACACAAGCGCTAACATTTTTTGAACTACGCATAGTTTTCCGACCACACACACATATTTAACCTTTTCTAGAGCGATTGATGCAGTCAGTCCTGAAGTAAGCATAGCAACAACTTCTGGATCTGGTCTTTCCACAGGAAGGATGTGTTTTGAAGGTACCTAACCAAGTTGAAAGCTCATCAAATAACCTAGTTATTGATATTATAAAGAAATATAAGAACAAAAATATAATAGAATCACTTAGTGTCATGAATTAGTGGAAACTTGGAAACGTCTGACATTAAAAATGAAAGCCCATCTCAGTAAACATAGAAAAGATATTCTCCAGATAGTGTACCAACGTGAATTCTGCATAACTTCCAAAAGTCATGATTGCAGCTGGAGTACCAACTTGCAAGTTAGTAACAGAGTCCCCTACTGCTGCAATTATCCCCACAGCCTGCAACAGTGAAACAGTTCTGTCAACTAGACATCACAAATAGCAATAACCTTAAACATTTGTAAACCATCAGTGCACGAGTGATTGTCATGTCAAAAATTATAAATTGTCCTGCACCTCAAAACCGCAATCAAATGGAAGACGGGACTCAATATCTTTGGTTTTGCCACTGAAATAACGTCCTGAACTGTAGTTTACCTATGAATGATAAGTCCTTGTTAGAGCATATATTATTTGCTTTACAAAAGGAGATAGGATCTTCAATATCATTATACTTGGTAAACAATTATCACATAATTAAAAATGCAAGAACAAAATTATGTAGACTCCTTAGATTGTTCCCTGGACCGATCCCATCTTATTCTACCAGAGCATCCCTTCTCTGTATAATTAGCACTTTTTCTCGTCATAGAAGGTGATGCACTCCCCCCACCGCAGCCTGTGTTGTGCATTAATTCAGTCTATTTTTGTAGACTGTAATCTAGTCTTAGGACCATGCCAAAGCAACTCCCATAGAGCCTGCTGCCTGGCCAAGTAATCATAAGCCTTAACTTTTACTCACTAAAACACCTGACTTCCCCTGGCAACTCATCATCCAGTATATCACTAAGTTCAGTCCAATTTTAATCATGTCTCAAAAGAAAACATGCATCATAAATAAGGAAGAGCAACAGATATTAGCCAATACAACGTTTGATAGCAAAACATAAACTATGAGAAAGAAAACTTAGAATCAATATTTCAAGGAGAGTCAGATGCTTACATCACTAGCATT